TATATAAAACCAAAAATCCAAAAAGTTTCCCAGCTTCTGTGCAGCCATATTACAATGAGGACAAGTTGTAGGTGGTGGTCCCTGCAAGGGTCCTCTGGTCCCCCTGCCCCTCACCAGAGTGCCCTCTCACCCCAGGCTCTGACATCATCATGCAGCTGGACGATGTGGTGAGCAGCACAGTGACAGGCCCTCGAGTGGAGGAGGCCATGCACAGGTCTGTGTATGTGTGGGTTGTGCGTGCGTGGGAGAAGGATTTGGATCGTGTGCTTCTCTTACGTCTCCCTAGCCACTGGAGGTTCTGTGACCTGCCCGGGACCCTCTTGCAGGTCAGTGCGCTGGCTGGACAGATGCATTGCAGCCCATCAGCACCGGGACAAGCAGAACCTCTTTGCTATCATCCAGGGGGGACTGAATGCCGACCTTCGGACCACTTGCCTGAAAGGTAGAGTCGGGTTCTGGTAGAGGTGCTCCAGGTCCAGGCAAAGGACGATGCTTTGGCATCGCTGTTAACTGGCAAGTGCAAGATACATGAGTCAAACGCCCTGAGGCAGTGTGCAGTAGGGCCGGTCTAGAAAATGGAAGTAATGGAGGCAAATACTGGTCCCAAGTTGAGTCTTTGTTTATCCCCCAACCGGTTCTCGCCACCATGTGGATTCTGGGGATGGAACTCAAGTGCTTTTGCCCGCTGAGCCCTTTTCAATATTTTGTTGAAATACTCATCAGCTTATGACAGGCTTCCATGTAGCCCAGGCTGGCCTGGACCTCACTATGTAGCAGAGGACGGTCTTGTACTTATCCTCCTGCCTCCACTTCTGAGTGCTGAGATCACGGGCATGCACCACCAAACTCAGACGATTTGTTGCTGAGTTGAACCCAGGACTTGATGCATAATACTCAAGCCCACTACTGAGTCACAGCCCGCCCCACTTTTGGAACTAGTTCTCCTGTAGTTCAGAGTGGCCTTGAGTTCCTGAATCTCCTGCCTCTCGAGTGCTGGGATCCCAGGGGCATCTTTGTTCTCTGGATTTGGAACCTTGTTTCTAGAAAATGGTAGATTCAGGAGAACATTTGGCTTTCTCCTGTGTGAACTGAGGGCCATGGGCCTGTTCTGATGATCAGAGTAGAAAGCATTGGGTCGATGAGCTGGCTGAGTGGCTGGAGAAGCTTGCTGCCAATACTCACAATCTCGGTTTGATCCCTGGAACTCACGGATTCTGCAAGTTGTGCCCTGAGCACTGTGTGATGAATGCATTCATGTCTCATGAATACACAAATAAACGTAATACAAATGAGCCTTGCGTTCAGCCAGTGGGCACTCAGCAGTGGCAGCATGGGTCCCCAGCAGGAGCCTTTGCCTCTGTCCCTCCCTTCCTTTTGGAATGTGTCTGGGGCAGGGTCTTTCCTGGGGGCTTTCAGATGGTCACCCTCATTAGAGTTGGAAAGACTGTTATTGGAAATGGGATTTGTTTTGTGTGGATGTTTGCTGGTGATTGGACGAAGTGCCTTGCCCCTGCTAGGTGAACACTCTACCACTGAGCTACACCCCTGCCCAAAATGGGTTTACTACATCTAAAACTACTGAGCATCTTAGTCCTTCTTGAGGTTGTGAAACTGTTACAACATTCCCCACCCCCTTTCTTTCTTCCTGTCTCTAATCTTTGTTTCTTACAATTTTTGAAATTAATCATTTAATTTTTGAGACAGGGTCACCATGCCTGGAGAAAGTTACTTTTATTTTCTGTGTATGAATATTTTTCTGTATGTATGTATACCACATGTATGCAGGACTCAGGAAGGCCAGAAGAGGGTGTTGGGTCTTCTGGAACTGGAATTGCAGATGGCTGTGAGCCATGTGGATGCTGAGATCTGGCCCTGGTCCTCTTGAGAGAACAGCAGGGCTCTTGTCCACTTGGGCCGCCAGCTCCTTACCCTCTCCCTTCCTCTTTTTTCGTTTTGTTTTGGTTTGGTTTGGTTTGGTTTTCAAGACAGGGTTGCTCTGTGTAACAGTTCTGCCTGCCCTGCAGCCCTGGAACTCGCTCTGTAGATTAGGTTCACCTTGATCTCACAGAGATCCGCCTGCCTCCGCCTCCCAGGTGCTGGGATTAAAGGCGTGCAGCACCTCGGCCCAGCTTTCCCTTCCTTCTTTATGTAACCCAGATTGTTCTGGGACTCACTGTGTAGCCCAGGCTCCTGAGTGGCTGGGATTCCAGGGTGTATCCAAACAACTGGCTCAAGGCTTTGTTTTATGGTTTTGTGGTAAATTAGTGGAAGATCCGCTGAGGGAAATCCAGCATGGTGACTAGAATACACTCTGACCTTTGGTAACACCACAAAATCCTAACTCCTCCTAAACTGGGGCCATGTGTTCTTTCAGAGATGACCAAGAGGGATGTCCCGGGCTTCGCCATCGGAGGACTGAGTGGGGGAGAGAGCAAGGCGCAGTTCTGGAAGATGGTGGCTTTAAGTACTTCCATGCTGCCTAAGGACAAGCCAAGATACCTGATGGGGGTTGGGTATGTTGGGGTGAAGGAGACATAGCACCAAGCCCTGCTGTGGGGGGCAGATCCTTCTGGAAAGAAGAGCATTACTGGGGAACTAATGAGTGGTCAGGTTGGCGACTGCCTGATGCTAACAATGTTCTGGGGTATCCTCAGCTATGTATGGAGTAAGAGGCAAGCCTGGGCTACATAAAACAGTCTCAGAACAAAAATAGATAAGAGAGAAGACTTGGCTGTCATCTGAGATGTAGTTGGGGGTGAAGGGAGGCCTGGGAACCCCTCTTGAGGCTCACTTTCCGTTCCTTACCCTCCCATGGCTGCACCCCAGCTATGCCACTGATTTGGTAGTCTGCGTGGCTCTTGGATGTGACATGTTCGACTGTGTATACCCCACACGGACAGCGGTGAGGCCTGGCCCGGGCAGGGGGACTGGAGGTACCGGGAGCCCGTGCCATTCATGATCTTGACCTTCCTTGCCTCCAGCGCTTTGGCTCTGCTCTTGTACCCACTGGGAACCTGCAGTTGAAGAAACAGCAGTACGCCAAGGATTTCAGTCCCATAAACTCGGAGTGTCCTTGTCCCACCTGCCAGAAGTAGGTCTTGGAAGTTGGGGACTGGAGGGGGCGGGGCTCAGGCTACCTGTAGCCACGAATTCTGTGACCCACAGGCACAGCCGCGCCTTCCTGCACGCCCTGCTGCACAGCGACAACACCGCAGCTCTGCACCACCTCACTGTGCATAACATTGCCTATCAGGTGGTCTGGGGACCGGGTCGGGACAGGGTAGGGTGGGCACTGGAACAGGGAAAGGAGGGGCATTGGCTCTGAGGACAGGGTAGGTTGAAGTTGAGATGGGGGCCTAATATGGCTCCTTTTCATTTGAGGGTGTGGTGTGGGTCAGTGGCACAAGTTCTCTCTTTGGGGGTATAATGAGTTTGGGCCATAAGGACCTTGGGGGTATGCTTCATCTAGAGGGTGTGGCATGGGCAGAACCCTCAAGCATGACTTGTTCTGCCTTGGGTTTATGATGGGGGCTCTTGGCACATCTGGTGCCTTGTGGGTACTCCTGAACTACTGGTGGCCTACACCCAAGAGATACTAACGCCTGCCCCCTCCCGCAGCTGCAGCTCCTGAGCGCCATGCGAAGCAGCATCTTGGAGCAGCGCTTTCCTGACTTCGTACGAAACTTCATGCGCACCATGTATGGGGACCACAGCCTCTGTCCTGCCTGGGCTGTTGAAGCACTGGCCTCTGTGGGAATCATACTCACATGACCTGGGTACTGGGGAGGACGCTGGCGCATGGGGGTCCTGAAGGATTGTTTTTATAAAAAGATTTTGTTGCTGCCTTTTGTTTTCATCTGAGATGTGGTGTCTTCTTGGGGAGGTGGCCTGTCTGTCTTCTTCCTGGTCCCAAGCTTCACTGTAGTTGGAAGTCTCACTTCCCAGGAAGAAGTAACAGGGAGTGGTGGCGGGTCCATTGATGGGGTCTGGGGGGAGTTGTGGGGGAAAGGGGAGCTCTGTGGGGGTCCCAGAGAAAGGCTCAGCCAGGCAAAGTTGGGGAGGTGGCCCCGAGGGCTTGAGTCTGAGCCTAGTGGTTCTCAGCGCAATCCTAGCTCTTAGTTGTTGGATAGCTGCAAGTTCAAGGCCAACTTGGTTTTCATGGCCAGTCAGGGGTACTGAGTAAGATCCTTTCTCAATAAAAACAAAACAAAACAAAAATAACCATAGCATCAGTGGGGTACCGGGGAACCACCAGGCACAGCCCACCTTTTTTTTTTTAACTTTAAGATAAGGTTTCTCTGTGTAGCCCTGCTTTCTTGCGACTTACTCTGTAGACCGGGCTGGCCTTGAACTCACAGAGATCCACCTGCCTCTGCTTCCCAAGTGCTGGGATTAAAGAAGGTGTGTACTTTCTTTCTTTGTTTTCTTCTTTTACTTTTAAAATTTTATTTATTTTTTATTTTTAAAAATTTTATATGCATTGAGTTTTTTGTTGGTGTTGTTGGTGTTTGTCTTTTTGTTTGGTTTGGTTTTGTTTGGTTTGGTTTTTTGAGACAGGGTTTCTCTGTATAGCTTTGAAGCCTATCCTGGCACTAGCTCTTGTAGACCAGGCTGGCCTCAAACTCACGGAGATTCACCTGTCTCTGCCTCCCAAGTGCTGAGATTAAAGGCTTGCACCACCACCGCTCGGCTTGTTTTGGGTTTTTTGCTTTCATATATGTCTGTGTTAGGGTGTTGGAGCCCTTCGAACTGGAGTTGTGGACCTTGTGAGTGTCCATGTGGGTGCTGGGAATCTGAAAGAGCAGTCAGTGATCTTAACTCCTGAGGAGCCATCTCTCCAGCTCCTATTTCTTTCCTTTCCTTTTTATGTCATTTTTAAAGATAGGGTTTTTCTATGTAGCCTTAGCTGTCCTGGAACTTGCTCTCTAAACCAGGCTGTTTTTTTTTTTTACCAGGCTGGTTTTGAACTCAGAGATCTGCCTGCCTCAGCTTCTGCCTTGTGTGCTCCTCCACCACCCGTCTGGCGGCTCCTTCTTGAGGTCAGGGTGTCGTAGCCACCCTGGAAGACTTCACTGTTATTCTTTCCTGGTTGCCAGCAGAGCCAAGGTCACCAAAATGGAGTGGCAGCTTTCTTTTCTTCTCTACGCTTCATCCGGTGGGCACAGGCTTAGCTCTGCGTAGCTCTCAGTGCTCCTGCTGATAATAGGTGTGACTGAGTAAATGTTCACACCATGCAAGTGCAATGTTTCTTTCTCTGTCCCGCCAGCCAGCTCCCAAGTCCTGACATGGAGACTTATATTGAAAGCTCTGCCTATAGCTTAGGCGTGTTCCTAACTAGCTCTTATAACAAATTAACCCATTTCTGTTATTCTATGTTTTACCATGTGGTTTTTTTTTTTTTTTTTTACCGTTCTTTATTCTGTATGTCCGACTTCCTCTATGTCTCATTGGCTTTTTCTCTGCATCTTGATTATCTCCTCCTGCTTCCTCTCTCTGCCTGGAAGCCCCGCCTATACCTCATGCCTAGCTATTGGCTGTTCAGCTCTTTATTAAACCAATCACAGCAATACCTCTTCACACCCCATAACAGGCTTGTGGTGGAGACCACGCCCAAGGCGAAGCCTGCCTGACCTGTGTCCCTCACCTTTGTTCTAGTCCCTGTGCTGCTAGCTGTTTGCTTTTCTTCTTGAGACAGGGTCTAACTAGCCCCATCTGGCCTAGTGCTCTCAATGTAGGCCAAGGTTGGTCTTGAGCTCACAGAGACGTCTGCCTGTGCCTTCCCAGTGCTGGGACTGAAGGCATGTGCTATCCACCAGACACCATTTTACTTTTTTTACATTCGAGACAGGGTTTCTCTATATAGCCCTGGCTGTCTTAGAATTTGCTCTATAATCCAGGCTGGGCTCGAACTCAGAGGTATTTTGTTTTGGTTTGGTTTGGTTTTTCTAGACAGGATTTCTTTGTAGCTTTGGAGCCTGTCCTGGAACTCGCTCTATAGACGAGGCTGGCCTCACACTCACAGAGATCCGCCTGCCTCCCAAGTGCTGGGATTAAAGGCGTGTGCCACCACTGCCCACCTAAGTGGTTGAGCTTTAGTGCTCTGATTTTATTCTTTTTATAGCTAAGGTTTTCCCTCTGTCATCATCTCTCTCACGGCCTCAGCAGAACTCCTGTACCACCTCCCGGCAGCTGCTTTCCAGAGTGTCCATTGCACCAGCCTCCTCACTGGACTCCCTACTCAGATAGTTCAGCACGGCGTGGCAGTGCATGGCCATAATCCCTCCCCAAATCCAAGAGGCTGGAGCGGGAAGATTGGGTGTTCTAGGCCAGCCTGGGATATGTAGTAAGATGGGTCAGCCTGAGCTACACAGACTGTGACTCAAGTAAACAAACCACACTAAAAGGAAACCAATGTGCCTGGGACCCTGGCATGTAAAAGAGCTCTTTGTCCCTAATAAACTGGTGTGGCAGGTCCTGCAATCCCAGCACTTCAGAGTTAGAGGCAGGGGTGTTAAAGGCAAGGCCCTCAGCTACACAAGCTGACTAAATGAGGCTCTGTCAAAAATAAATACCACCACTCCCCCAAAATGCAGTTCGCAGGACCCCCAGTTATGCCTGCAAAATAGTGTGACCTGCATTCGTGCTTTAGGGAGTAGATCCCCAAGTTCCACTGGGCAATTAAAAGGTCTAGAATGTAGTAAAGTTGAAGAAATAGGGAAACAGCTGTGGAATATTGGCTTCCTTTTTAAGATGGCTGGGGGTGGGTGGATTGGCGCCTGGAGAGATGGTGGATCAGATCCACAGGACCCCAGTATAAGCCCGAGCATGGTGGTGAGCATGTGTAACCAGTTCTGGCAGGGTTAGTCAGCAGCTATTCTGGCTGAATTCACCAGTTCCAGGCTCTAAGAGATCCTATTCCAAAATAGAAGATCGGAGAATGCTTGATGTCAAACTATGACCTCCACGTGCACAGGGCAGGGGCTGCAGATACAGCTTAGGGTGCTGTTCTTTCTTTCTTTCTTTCTTTCTTTCTTTCTTTCTTTCTTTCTTTCTTTCTTTCTTTCTTTCTTTCTTTTTTGTTTTTTGAGGCAGGGTTTCTCCGTAGCTTTTGGAGCCTGTCCTGGAACTAGCTCTTGTAGACCAGGCTGGTCTCGAATTCACAGAGATCCGCCTGCCTCTGCCTCCTGAGTGCTGGGATTAAAGGCGTGCGCCACCACTGCCCGGCTTCTGACAACTGCTTCTAACTCTAGCTTCAGGAGAGCCCATGTCCTCATCTCATGTGCACATAACACACACCCCATACATACACATAATGAAAAATAAGGGGGCTGGAGAGGTGGCTCAACAGTTAAGAGCGTTTGTTGCTCTTGTAGAGATCCAGGGTTCAATTTTCAGCATCAACATGGCAACTTCAGTTGTAACTCCAGTTCCTGATGATCTCATGCCCTCTTCTGGTCTTCTTGGACCCTGCATGAACATAGTGAAAAAAACAGACATGCATGAGAAACCCCTCATACATGAAAGTAAAGTGGGTTTGGAAGATCGCTCCGCATTTAAGAACATTTGTTGCTCTCACAGAGGATCTGGGTTTGGTTCCCAGCTCCTACATTGTAGTTCACAACTACCCAGAATTCCAGTTCTAGGGTATGACACTTCCTCACTCCTTTGAGCACCAGGCATGTTACGTGGTGTACATAAAAATAAAATAAATCTTTAGTTTTTTTAGTTTTTTGTTTAAATCTTTAAAAAATTTAAAACCTTATTTTATGAAAATTTAAAAAATATTACGACCGGGTAGTGGTGGTGCCTTTAATCCCAGCACTTGGGAGGCAGAGGCAGGTGTGAGTTTGAGGCCAGCCTGGTCTACAAGAGCTAGTTCCAGGACAGCCAGGGCTGTTACACAGAAAAACCGAAGTTTACATAAAGTCAGTTTTTTGTGTATGTGGATGTTTTGCCTGCATATAAGCGTGTGCCTCATGTTTGTGTCTGATCCTGATGGAGGCCCTGAAGAGCATGTCGGATTCCTGGAAATGGAATTACTGATGGTTGTGTTCTTTCATGCGTCTGCTGGGGACCAAACTCCAGTCCTCTCCGAAGGCAGCAAGCGCTCTCTAGAAGCAATAAAAAAAAGTTTTTTTTTTTTTGTTTTTTGTTTTTTGTTTTTTTTTTTTAAGTAAAAATAAACTTAGGGTTGTAGCCACTGGTAAAAGACTTGTTTAGTTTCATGAGGCTGTACTCATGTTACCCAGTAACATTCAGGAACACACATGCAAGCATGCACCCCCAAACGACTGGATTTAAACACTACACTCAACCTTCTATGAGATTCATCTTCCCCCAGCACTGGGAGTCTTTCAGAACTGGAATCTGATGCTTTCTAAGATACAAGTTTTCTCTAGCGCCTAAAATCGCAGGCGTGACCAAAGCACTCAAGTTTACCACGATGTGTGGCGCTTCCCCGAGTACTGTGGCCCTCTGCTTAAAAAGAATATCACAATCTGACAACAAACGTTAGGAAATCTGGGAAGAATTTCCATGACTGACGGACACAGATGTAAATCAGAATCAGGACTGGGACGTTAGTATGTATAATCCTAGCAGGAGGGACACTGAAACAGGAGGGTCACCGCGTCTGCGGCCAGGCTATGGTTCAGAAACAGTAGAAAAAAGGTTGTGGTTCTCTTTTCTCTCATTGGTTGGAGGAGCGAAGGGATGTTTTACCAACCAATGAGAAATTTTTCCGGAACTAACTAGGGTCAAGTGACACACCAGTGTTTAAGGATCGATTCCTTACACCATTGGCAGGCTGACGCTTCCAGAGACCAATAAGACAGCCCAGATCAACCTAGTGAGCATTAGTCTCGGTGTCTTTTCCAGATAGCCTGCCTTTTGGGCGTGACAACCCGATTTCCACTTCCATTGGCTTGTTCATATTAATGACAGTTCTATGATCCAATGAAGTTGTGGGACTAGCCCTTCCTCGTGTCTTTTTTATTGGTTTCCATGTTTGATTGGCAGCATTCTTGACCAACTGAGGGTAGTCTTATGGTTTCGGGCTCCGCCCCGGAGGCCGAGCGGGGAGGTCGCTCGGGTCGGGTGTCGCCTGAGAACCGGATGAGGCGGCGACTGTGAGACCGAGCCGGGAGCGGGCGTCGCGGCGAAGGGGAGCCCGTGCGGGCTGGCAGAGCGGAGCGGGAAGAAGCAACGGCCACTGACGCCTCGGGGCCGCGTGTCGTAGCCGGTGGAGCCGCGGGCGGAGGCGGGCACCATGGGCAACCGCGGGATGGAAGAGCTCATCCCGCTGGTTAACAAGCTACAGGACGCCTTCAGCTCCATCGGCCAGAGCTGCCACCTGGACTTGCCTCAGATCGCCGTGGTGGGCGGCCAGAGCGCCGGCAAGAGTTCGGTGCTCGAGAACTTCGTGGGCCGGTGAGCGAGTGCGCCGGCGGCGGTTCCCAGGCTCCGGCACGGAGGGCGGGTGGCGGCCTAGGGCGCGGAGGGCGGGTGGGGAATGGCGGAACTGCGGTTCGCGGACGTCGCAGTACCGGTGGCAGTGGGTAAAGTCTGGGGCTAGAGTCTCCATGACTCCGTAGGGACTGGAGCTGCAGACCCTGGTCCGCGACTGGTCGGTGATAGTCGGGGAGGTTTGGGACAAGACGGTCAATGCATACCCTTCTTGGTGCACGTAGTCCCAGCTATCACTGGTGAACTCTGACATCTCTTTGCCTGTGATCCGGGATAGATCCACTCTTTTCTCTTGCTACCTGAAAATCTTAGTGTGCGTGCTGCTGAAGCTACACTTGTCACCCGGCCATCCATGGGGGATGACCCCTGGGGTCTGTCAGGACGGTTATTTATCTGGAGCCTTCTCTGCCATCTGATTAGCTGTTTATCCTTTCTGGACAGGCTTCCTACGGGCACCATTTGGTTGTCCCATCTGTCCAGACCCGCCCCGAAGTCCACTGTTGTCTGGCTAGCCGTCTAGGGTGACCTCTGGTGTGCAAATGCCCATCTGTGCCCCTTGCTTACTCAAGTTGGCCTCTACTATCTGAATGGCTGAACTTTAGGGGACTCTGTTGTCTGGTCTCTTGGGCCATTGGCTCCAGTGTTCCAAGTGAATCCATTCCATTAGTCTGCCTTGCTGTTCTCCATTACTACCCAGGCAGTCCTATCCTCTCCAAGTGGCAGAAGGTGGGGACTTGGGGAGAAGCATTCTTCAGGATTCTTTCCTGATTCAGGATCCCAGAACTTACTAGCTGGCTTCTAAGCTAAAGCTTCCCAGTTGGAGAGCTCTCCCAGACAGCTTTGGGAGCCTCAGCTTGTTCCATCTGTCCAGTGGGCAAATTCCACTTGCAGCTGTTTCTATGGTCCAGGAAGTGAGTGAAGGAGCAATGTTGATTTACTCCTGTCCCCTCCCCCTCTGCCTCATACAGCACCACTTCTCCATTCCAGGAAGTGTACCATGTATGATGCTGCTGTGTGTGCCCAGTGATAACATTTGCTTTGCTGTGGACATTATCGCGTGTGTGTCTGTCCAAGTGTGTTCCACGGTGCACTTGTGGAGATCAGAAGACATCATCTTTGTGAAGTCCCTCCACATTTATGTGAATCCTGGGGCTCAAACTCAAGTCATCAGGTTTATATAGCAAACACTTTTATTCATTGAGCCATATCATTCATTGTCTTTCCATCTTAAAGTGTTGAGATGTAGTGATGCTCCGAGCCCGAACTCACTGATCAGCTAGACTGACTGGCCAGTGAGCTGCTCACCCTTGCATTGGGTTACACGCCTTCTCACATAGACACACACACACACACACACACACACACACACTCCCTCCCTCCCTCCCTCCCTCCCTCCCTCCCTCCCTCCCTCCCTGTTGCATGTTATTGTTACCAGTCTTTTGGGGAGGCAGGAACATCTCTGAATTTGAGGCTAGCTTATTCTACATAGAGAGTTCTAGGGAGTCCACGGCTACATAGTGAGACCCTGTCTCAAAAAAACATAAAGGTTGATTTAAGGATACAGGGACTGGGATGTTGGAAGTGTTGATTTAGGCTAAATTAGCTGCATCTGCGAACCTAGGGATCCAGGAGTCTGAGGCAGGACAGGTCTTGAGTTTGTGATCATCCTGGGCTCTATTGTTAGACCTTGTTTCAGAAGAAGCCGTGAGAGGGTTATAGATGTAGTTCAGTCATTGAGCATTTGCCTAGCATGGATAAGACCCTAAGCATAACTGATAGTAAATATTATTGCCATATATGTTCTCTTTGATTGCTTCATACTCAGAGATCCTTTTATGATTATGGCTTTTAGGTACTGAATTAATTTTTTAATGTATATGTATATACACATTTTTAATTATTAAATTTTTAGATGGAGTCTCACTTTCTAGACCAGACTGGGTTTGAACCCACAGGGATCCACCTGCTTCTGCCTCCTGAGTGCTGGGATTAAAGGCATACAGTACCATTCCTGGATTTTTTGATTTTTTTTTTTTAAAATAGTCTCATACTGTAGCCTAGGCTGACCTGGAACTCACCATGTGGCACAGGTTGGCCCCCAGAGTTGTAGCAGTCTTTTCCTGCTTCCATTTTCCAAGCGCTAGTTTCGCAGGCATGTACTGCTGTGCCTGACATTAATTCTTTCTGTTCAGCAATGTCTTAAGGCCCCTGGGCTGCAGGACCCTGTGAAGAGGTGTCCTTTGGTGGGTCCCACTCAACCCTACTCTGTATTTCTTGCTGTGAATTTGACTAAACAGAGTCAGAACTGAGAGTCTTTTCCTTCCTCTGCTGTTCTTGAATGTCTAGTGGGCATCTGGCTGGCACCCAGGAGCAAAGGAGAGAGTGTGCCAAGGGCTTGGGTTAGTCTGGCACCTGGGGATAGCTCAGACTGCTTCCTGTTAGTGCTGCCTTTGGATTTTTCAAAGAATGTAGGTATACACGTGGATGACACAGTTGGCCCAGCCTCTTGCAGGGGTGTGCATGCAGATTGCTTGCCCTGGGGACAACAGGTTTCACATGAAGTTCATATTCTACAGAGCCAGAAACTGCCCAGAAGGATCTAAGGAGTAATGATGGTGGTGTGGAGGCATGAGGCCCCAAGCACAGGTCTGCCTTGATTGACTTTGTGTCTTTAGTCAAGTGGACTGGGCTTTCGGGTCCCCAGGTTCCTTTGTGTGCGTCCGTGCACAAATCTGAGTGTGATTGTGTGGAGGTCAGAGGTTACTCTTGGGTGTGGTTCCTCAGGAGCCATCTGCTTGGTGTTTTTGAGACATGGTCTCTCACTAGAACCTGGGGCTTGTTGATCAATCTAGGCTGACTGGCCAGCAAACCCCAGGGATTCACCTGTCTGGGCCTCCACAGTGCTGGAATGACAGTGTGCATTATGATGCCTGACTTTTTACATGGGTGCCAAAGGTTGAACTTGGGTCTTCACGCTTGGGCAGTAAGCCAGCTCCTCAGCACCGCACAAACTTTTATAAACAAAAGCAAAACTGGTAAGTCCTATGCTGGCTTTGAAATGCCTGTAGCAACCTAGGGCTGCTCTCCTGCCTCCACTTGCTGAGTTCTTGTGTTGCAGGTGCACACCACCATGCTTGGGTTTATGTAGTGCTGGGGACAGAACCCAGAGCTTGGTGCATAGTAGGTGAAGCGGGTCAGCCCTTAGGTTTCTCCTCTACAAGGTGGAGGCTGTTTGTGGTTTGGGCAGTGCAGGGCAGTGGTAGAGTGCCTGCTGTCATGTGCTAAGGCTCCAGGAGTTAAAAGAAAGACCAAGACCCTTTTCCTAGGGTGACGTGAGTTGGTGGGTAATTCACTGGGTCCTCTACTCAGGGCTGCTCATAACCTTTTGGAAGCATTTGCATTTGAATCCTTTGGCTGACCAGCTGTGTGCACCAGCCCATAGTTTTGTGGATCTCAGGAGGGCTTGGTCCCTAACTAACCTTTGCTATTTAGCCTTGGGGGCTGGCAAAGAGAAGCTGAATTTTTTTTTTCTTTCTCTCTTTTTCTTTCTTTGGACAGGAGCCCAGGAAATTGGGGCTCCAGCCTGGAAAGCTGAGGCTGGGCTCCTTCCTGTGAGTGTTTTGTCTTTCAAAGTCTGTTAGCTGAGTAGGAAGTGAGGCTACCATTCCAGCTGAGTGCTTCACCTGCTAACTAATGCAGAAACCTGGTGCCTGTCATTGCAGTAGAGGCATATCCCCTGCCTGCCACTGATGCCTTCGGCAAGGGACTGCATCCCACCTCTTGAAGACCTATGGTCATGCTGGCAGGATGACTCAGTGGGTAAAGGGTTTGCCACCAAGTCTGATGGTCTGGGTTTGATCCCCACAACCCAGTGGTGGAAACAGTAGAACAATTCCTGTGTGGTGCATGCACATGTAGACACAGAGCCAAAGAGAATAAATAAGTGAAGTGTTTTTTAAAAGTTTTGTTTTGTTTTCTTTTTTTCCTTTTTTTAAAAAGACTTATTTATTAATTATGTATACAGGGTTCTTTCTGCATGTATGCCTTCAGGCCAGAAAAGGGCACCAGATTTCATTACTGATGGTTGTGAGCCACCATGTGGTTGCTGAGAATTGAACTCAGGACCTCTGGAAGTGCTCTTAACCTCTGAGCCATCTCTCCAGCCCATTTTTTAAAAATATTTATTTATTTATTATGTATACAATATTCTGTTTGTGTGTATGTCTGCAGGCCAGAAGAGGGCACCAGACCTCATTCCAGATGGTTGTGAGCCACCATCTGTGGTTGCCGGGAATTGAACTCAGGACCTTTGGAAGAGCAGGCAATGCTCTTAACCACTGAGCCATCTCTCCAGCCCCTTGTTTTGTTTTTAAAGGAAAACAAAAAGGGAACTGGAGGGCTGCAGCTCAGTTGGTAGAGTACTAGGCCTGGGTGAAGCGCTGATTCCAGCTGGATTCCACCCTCAGCGTCACATAAACCTGGGGCATGCTTTAAACCCAAGTGGAGGCAGAGGGATCAGGAGTTGGTTCAGGGTATGCTCAGCAGCATAGGTAGTCTCCAACTTGGGCTGCACGAGACCCTGCTCCCTGAAGAAATAAAAGAGCCTGGAACCCCAGCACTTAGGAGGCTGATGCAGGAATTGCCAGTCTAGGGTCTGTAGGGAAACCCGCCTAGTAAACAGAAAGTTGAGGTGGGGGTGGTAGCAACAACTCTTCCGTAGGCCTAGTGAGTCTTCTTAGGACAATGACAGTGTCTTCCAGTGCTTAGCACAATTTTCCTACATGCCAGGAATATGGCCTTGAGCCAAATAGATAAAAACCACTAATGCAGGTTTTAGCAGTGCTGGTGCGGGTGGGATAGAGGGGGTACGAGTTGTGAGGAGCCAGGTGACGCGACTTTGGAGAAAAGGCTAGGAGAACTTGACAGAGGTGTCCTGAAGACAGATGTGGGAATAGCCAGTGTGA